ACATTACTAAAGCTGTTTATCAGCTGTAGGAGTTCTTTGGTGGAGTTTTTGGGGTCGCTTATGTACACTATCATATCATCTGCAAATAACGAAAGTTTAACTTCTTCCTTTCCAATTCGAATCCCCTTGATTCCATTATGTTGTCTTATTGCTATTGCTAGAACTTCAAGCACTATATTGAAGAGGTATGGGGAGAGTGGACAGCCTTGTCGTGTTCCTGAGTTAAGTGGGATGGCTTTGAGTTTCTCTCCGTTTAATTTGATGTTAGCTGTCGGCTTGCTGTATATAGCTTTTATTATATTTAGGTATGACCCTTGTATCCCTAATCTCTCCAAGACTTTTAACATAAATGGATGTTGAATTTTGTCAAATGCTTTTTCAGCATCTAATGAAATGATCATATGGTTTTTTTCTTTCAGTTTATTTATATGCTGGATTACATTGATAGATTTTCGTATGTTGAACCAGCCCTGCATCTCAGGAATGAAGCCTACTTGATCATAATGGATAATTTTTCGGATGTGTTCTTGGATTCGATTTGCCAGTATTTTGTTGAGGATTTTTGCGTCGATATTCATGAGTGAGATTGGCCTGTAGTTCTCTTTCCTGGTTGAGTCTTTGAGTGGTTTTGGTATCAGAGTAATTGTGGCTTCATAAAAGGAGTTTGGTAATGACCCTTCTGTTTCTATCTTGTGGAATACATTAAGGAGTATAGGTATTAGATCTTCTTGGAAGATCTGGTAGAATTCCGCATTGAAACCATCTGGTCCTGGACTTTTTTTGGTAGGGAGGTTTTTGATAACCTCTTCTAATTCTTCGCGACTAACAGGTCTATTTAGATTGTTCACCAGGTCCTGATTTAACTTTGGTATATGATATTTATCTAAAAAAGTATCCATTTCCTTTACATTTTCCAATTTTGTGGCATATAGGCTTTTGTAGTAAGATCTAATGATTCTCTGAATTTCCTCTGTGTCTGTGGTTATGTCCCCCTTTTCATTTCTGATCTTATTAATTTGCAAATTCTCTCTCTGCCGTTTGATTAGCTTGGATAGTGGTTTGTCAATCTTGTTGATTTTCTCCAGGAACCAGCTTTTTGTTTCATTGATTTTTTGTATTGTTTTCTGTGTTTCTATTTTGTTGATTTCAGCCCTCATTTTGATTATTTCCAGTCTTCTACTCCTCCTAGGTGAGTCTGCTTCTTTTTTTCTAGAGCTTTCAGGTGGGCTGTTAAGTCTCCAATGTGAGCTTTCTCTGTTTTCTTTAAGTGGGCACTTAGTGCTATGAACTTTCCTCTTAGGACTGCTTTCATAGTGTCCCATAAGTTTGAGTATGTTGTTTCTTTATTTTCATTGAATTCCAGGAAGACTTTAATTTCTTTCTTTATTTCTTCCTTAATCCAGCTATGGTTCAATAGTTGACTGTTCAGTTTCCATGACTTTGTATGCTTTCTGGGGGTAGCATTATTGTTGAATTCTAACTTTAATCCATGGTGATCTGATAAGACACAGGTGGTTACTAATATTTTTTTGTAACTGTGGATGTTTGCTTTGTTACCGACTATGTGGTCGATTTTCGAGAAGGTTCCATGAGCTGCAGAGAAGAAGGTATATTCTTTCCTATTTGGATGGAATGTTCTATAGATGTCTGTTAAGTCCATTTGATTCATTACCTCCACTAATTCTCTTATTTCTCTGTTAGGTTCCTGTCTGATTGACCTGTCCATTGGTGAGAGAGGAGTGTTGAAGTCTCCTACTATTAGTGTGTGCGGTTTGATGGCTGCCTTGAATTTTAGCAATGTTTCTTTTATGTACGTGGGTGCTTTTATATTAGGGGCATAGATGTTCAGGATTGAGACTTCATCCTGATGAACTGTTCCTGTTATGAGTATAAAATGCCCCTCTCCATCTCTTCTGATTGATTTAAGTTTAAAGTCAACTTTGTTAGAGATTAGTATGGCCACACCTGCCTGTATCTTAGGTCCATTTGCTTGATAGGCCTTTTCCCAGCCCTTTACTCTGAGTAGGTGCCTGTCTTTGTGGTTGAGGTGTGTTTCTTGTAAACAGCAGAATGTTGGATCCTGTTTTCTTATCCAATCTCTTAGCCTGTGCCTTTTTATAGGTGAGTTGAGTCCATTGACATTAAGTGATATTAATGACCAGTGGTTGTTAACTCCGGTCATTTTTTTTTAGTCGTAGAGTTTGTGTGTTTCCCTTCTTTGTTTTGTGTTGGTGAAGGGTCTCTAGATGTCTGAGTTATTGTGGTCATTGTTGGACTCCTTGGTTAGTGATTTTCCTTCAATTACTTTCTGTAAGGCTGGATTTGTGGCTGCGTATTGTTTAAATTTGTTTTTATCCTGGAAAATTTTATTTTCTCCATTTATAGTGAATGAAAGCTTGGCTGGGTATAGTAATCTGGGCTTGCACCCATGGTCTCTCAGTTTCTGCAGTACATCTATCCAGGACCTTCTGGCTTTCATGGTTTCCATGGAGAAGTCAGGTGTAAGTCTGATAGGTTTACCTTTATAAGTAATTTGGCCTTTTTCCTTTGCAGCTCTTAATATTCTTTCCTTATTCTGTATGCTTTGTGTTTTGATAATTATATGGCGAGGGGATGTTTTTTTTTGATCCAGCCTATTCGGTGTTCTTTATGCTTCTTGCACCTTCATAGGAAAATCTTTCCTTAGGTTGGGAAAATTTTCTTCTATAATTTTATTAAATAGATTTTCTGGACCATGGAGCTGCCCTTCTTCTCCTTCTTCTACTCCTATTATTCTTAGGTTTGGTCTTTTTATTGTGTCCCATATTTCCTGAATGTTTTGTGATGAGAGTTTGTTGGACTTGCTGTTTTCTTTGATCAGTGTGTTTATTTTCTCTATGGTATCTTCAGAATCCGAGAGTCTTTCTTCTATCTCTTGTATTCTGCTGGTTATGCTTGTTTCTGTAGTCTCTATTCGTTTACCTAGATTTTCCATGTCCAGACGGCCCTCTGTTTGTGTTTTCTTCTTTGCCTCCATTTCAGTTTTCAGGTCTTGAACTGTTTCCATTATCTGTTTGATTGTTTTTCCTTGGTTTTCTAGGGTATCATTCACTGATTTATTCAATTCTTCAAACTTTCTGTTATATTTCTCATCCATTTCTATAAGGGCGTTTTTTACATGCTGTTTAAGGGTGTCAATCACTTTCATGAAATCAATCTTTTCTCCTTCCTCTTGATTAAGGGGTTCTCGTCCTCCCGTTGTGAGGTCGCTTGTTTCTGGTAGCTTCATGTTGCTTTTCAGCTTGTTGGGCGAATTCTTGCCTTGACGTCGGCCCATCTCTTCTTCCAAATGCTCCCTATGGATCTTCTTTTACCGGATTAGGTCTCCTTGCCTACCAAACGCTGTCTCTCCCCAATGTTGGCTCTCCCAATGCTGGGTCTCCTGGCGCCGAAAGATCAGGCCTCCGTGCTGGTTGGGCAGCTTGCAGACAAAGCGCCTACCCCGCTTGGTGCAGGCAGGCCACAGAAACAAAGGAACTGCTGCCCGCCCGGGAGCCCCGGATACTCGGACCCTGCGCCCAGATAGGCTGGGCTGGGCGATGCCACGCGCCTAAAGAGGGCAGTGGGGGCGAAGTGGGGAGGGCTCTGGACGGAAGCTGGGTGGGCCAGGAAGAAAGAGGCAGCACCCGGGGAGTAGAGGCCCTGCAGAGAGCCCAAGCAGGACAGGGGGCCAAGAAACCCCCGAGCTCCCCGTCCCAGGCTGGCGCCGTGGGCCAGAAACTCACCCCAATGCTGGGTCTCCTGACGCCGAAAGATCAGGCCTCCGTGCTGGTTGGGCAGCTCGCAGACAAAGCGCCTACCCCGCTTGGTGCAGGCAGGCCACAGAAACAAAGGAACTGCTGCCCCCCGGGAGCCCCGGGTACTCGGACTCAGTGCCCAGATAGGCTGGGCTGGGCGATGCCACGCGCCAAAAGAGGGCAGTGGGGGCGAAGTGGGGAGGGCTCTGGACAGAAGCTGGGTGGGCCAGGAAGAAAGAGGCAGCACCCGGGGAGTAGAGGCCCTGCAGAGAGCCCAAGCAGGACAGGGGGCCAAGAAACCCCCGAGCTCCCCGTCCCAGGCTGGCCCATTGCTTCCTTCTTGATTAAACACCAGAGCTGGCTTCATCTACAGCAGATTCTTCTATTATCATCAATTTTTATCATATTCATGCATATTCTCTTATCTTTGCCTCTTCAGCATTTTGTTTTGATTTTATGTTCATGGACTGATTTAATTTCATTGTAGAACTGACATTTTATGATAAACAATAATGACAAAACTTTATATGACAAATGATGTGAGGGAAGTCTCATGAAGTTAAATGATTCATCTGTCTTATAGTGGGATCATTTTAGAATCAAGTGTGCCTAAATTAAGTTTCTTTCTACAATACCACATATTGATGTTCAATTCATGAGGTCAGATGAGAGACCATAGTGTCACTTCAAGATGATCCAAGTTTTAGGGGAAGGGGAAGCCTGCAGAAGTCATTGTGGCTTGTTACTTGTGATTTCTGAGTAGATATGATACCCAGGTAGGACGGTATGAAGCAGGGTAAATATGAGCAAATATTCTTAATTCTGTATAAACAATGCCGCAAACATTTGTTGATATTTCAGACAGTATTGTGTTTGAAATTTAATAGATATCTCATACAAAATAAGATCCAAGTACATTTAGAAGCTGATATATAATCTTTGAAACGTAGAGAAGCAATTTTTTCAGGTATTATCTGAGACTGCGAGAATCAGCCTTATGTCTTAGGCCTTTACTTCTCATCTTAATTAAAAAGAACACTGGGACATATCACTGAGGTAAGTTGATCTGAACAGATGCATTTAAACTGATTTCAGAGTATGGAAGTCCTAAGTGCTCCCCTTCTACCTCTAGTCATCATAATTTTTCATTTGTTATAAAATAAGAATGAGTGTTGATGATTTTTTTCATTTGTCTTTCAGGTAATTTAAAGTCTTTTTGGGATTATGCCCTCAAGAACTTATGCCATAGAAGGAGTAAACAATGTCAGTGAATTTATTTTCTGGGGCCTTTCTCAGAGTCCAGAGATTGAAGAAGTATGCTTTGTGGTGTTTTCCTTCTTTTACATGGTTGTAGTGCTGGGAAATCTCCTCATTATGGTCACAGTTTTCAGTGGCAATCTTTTCAAGTCCCCCATGTACTTTTTCCTCAGCTTTCTATCTTTTGTGGACATTTTCTACTCCTCAGTCACAGCATCCAAGAAGATTGTTGACCTGCTGGTGAAGAAAAAACTATCTCCTATGTGGGGTGCATGTTACAAACCTTTTGGGGTTCACTTCTTTGGTTGCACTGAGATCTTCACCCTTACTGTCATGGCCTATGATCGATATGTGGCCATCTGTAAACCCCTCCACTACATGACTATTATGGACCTGGAGAGATGCAATAAGATGCTGCTGGGAACATGGGTGGGGGGGGTTCTTTTTTTAAAAATTTTATTTATTTTTTTATAATTTTTTATTGAGAAAAAGAAAAAAAGTTTCTGCCTCCTCCTAGCCTCCTATTTCCCTCCCCCTCCCCCCACTCCTCTCCCCCTCCCTCTCCAGTCCAAAGAGCACTCAAGGTTCCCTGCCCTGTGGAAAGTCCAAGGTCCTCCCCCCTCCGTCCATGTCTAGGAAGGTGAACATACAAACTGGCTAGGCTCCCACAAAGCCAGAACATGAAGTAGGATCAAAACCCCGTGCCATTGTCCTTGGCTTCTCATCAGCCCTCATTGTTCACCATGTTCAGAGAGTCCGGTTTTATCCCATGCTTTTCAGTCACAGTCCAGCTGGCCTTGGTGAGCTCCCAATAGATCAGCCCCACTGTCTCAGTGGGTGCACCCCTCGTGGTCCTGACTTCCTTGCTCATGTTCTCCCTCTTTCTCCTCATTGGGACCTTGGGAGCTCAGTCCAGTGCTCCAGTGTGGGTCTCTGTCTCTATCTCCATCCATCACCAGATGAAGGTTCTATGGTGATATGCAAAATATTCGTCAGTATTGCTATAGGATGGGGTCATTTTAGGTTCCCTATCCTCAGCTGCCCAAGGAACTAACTAGGTGTAGTAATAGGGGCGGTGGCGCTGTGTTCCCAGCACCCCGGCCGCCTGCTCGGCTAGCTTATGCCCCGAAATAATTACACGGACACTGTATTCTTTTAAACACTGCTTGGCCCATTCTCTTCTAGGCTAATTCTCACATATTAAATTAGGGGTATATTCAAAAAAAAAAGAGGGGGATTAACTGGTTTGATGGGATGATTGGTATTTGTGACTTACTGTTTTTAGAAAATTATATTGGTACTGTTTCTTGTATATTGATATATTGAATATTGAATGTGAGTGTTCCTACCTCTACTTTTATATAAGAGTATGCTTATATTGTATGGATACATCTATCATATCACAATGTACATTTCTACCTCTGGTACTATTTATGTAATAACATTGTTTACATTTGATATGTAATGACATTGTTTACAGGTGAAGATCATTGTCTTCATATATTGCACAGTTGTTTGGTCATGTGTTGGGGCTAGGCTTGAGTGATAGAATGCTCAGAAGAAACCTGCAAAAAGAGAAACACTTCGGAGATAATAAATAGGATTATTCCATAGAATAGGACTTTTTGTACAATGAGTGTTTGATGTCCTTGATAAGTGCCTTTCTTATTACATCACGTCATCACTGATATATAGTGAGTGAATTACCTAGGAGTCCTAGTGATAGAAGGATAGGTGAATTGTAGTGGAATCATATAACTAAACCTGAGGTTAGCAGTAGGGCTGAGAAGGCCCCTGTTAGAGGTCATGGGCTTGGGTTTACTATATGGAAAGCATGAGTTTGGTGGGTCATTAGGTGTTATTATGTAGGTAGAGGCTTACAAGTAAGGTAAATACGTAAGCTTGAATTAGGGCTATGGCAAACTCTAGGATAGTGAGAATGGCTAAAATGATAAATGTGATTGTATCTGTTGGTGGGCTAATGCTGTGAGAACTACTGTAGCACCACTGATTAAGTGAATTAATAAGTGACCTGCTGTGATGTTAGCTGTTAAACGGACTGCTAGGGCTATGGGTTGGATGAATAAGCTGATGGTTTCAATAATGATTAATATAGGAATGAGGGAGATAGTGGTAACCTTGGGTAGGAAGTGGGCTAATGAGGCTTTCAGTTTATGGTGGAAACCTAGGATTACCGCTTCATCTCACAGTGGGATTGCTATTCCTAAATTTGTTGATAATTGTGTTGTTGGGGTCAATGTGTGTGGTAAGAGTCCTAGAAGGTTAGTTGAGCCAATAAATATAATTGATGATACTAGTATGAGTGATCATGTGCGTCCTTTGGGTGAGTGGATTAGCATTATTTAATAATGAGTTTGAGTAATCATTGTTGAAATGAGTGGAAGCGGTTTGAGACCAGTCGTTTGGAAGAAGTTGTAAAGTATTGATGGGAGTATAATGATAAGTATGACAATTATTGTAGGGGTAATGAAAGAGGCGAATAAATTTTCATTCATTTTGATTCTCAGGGGTTTCTTGTTTTTATATGTCTAATTGACTTGATGAATGGAGTTTGTAGGAAGTTGTGAAGTAAGATTTTTAGTTGTATAAGAATGAACAGTGTGATTGTAGTTGACAGGACAGTAATAAATCATGTAGATGTATCCACTTGTGGCATTCACTACGGAGACTATCTCTAACTTTAACTTAAAAGGTTAACGCTCTAAGCTTCGTAATGTAATTAGATTATTAATAAAGATCAATCTTCAAAGTTTTTTAGAGGAACTGTTTCAAGCACAATGGGCATAAAGCTATGATTAGATCCGCAGATTTCTGAACATTGTCCGTAGAACAACTCAGGACGGTTGGATGACATAGTTGCTTGGTTTAGTCACCCTGGGATAGCGTCTGTTTCAAGTCCTAGGGAAGGAACAGCTCATGAGTGTAGGATGAGATTAGTATTCGAATTGGTAATTCTATGGGGAGGACTACTCGGTTGTCTACTTCTAGGAGGCGAAGTTATCTGGGTTTTAAGTCAGAGGTTGGAATCATGTATGAGTCTAAGCAGAGGTCCTCATAGTCTGTGTATTCATAGCTTCAGTATCATTTGTGGCCCATTGTTTTTACAGTGAGGGCTGGGTTGTTAATTTTGTCTATTATGTACAAGATTTGTAAGGAAGGCAGGGCAATTAGAATCAGGATTACAGTTGGTAAGATGGTTCAGATAGTCTCTACTTCTTGGGCGTCTATAGTGCTAGTATGAATTAGTTTTGTCAGTATGAGATTAATGATATTTAGTACTAAAGAGCTGATTAGAAACACGATTATAAGTGTATGATCATGAAAATTTATTAATTCTTCTATAATAGGTAAGGAAGCATCTTGTAAGCCTAGTTGGAATGGGTAAGCCATATAAGATAGATGGAGTTTAGTCTATAATTTAACTTTGACAAAGTTATGTAATTTATTTACTAATATCTCATTGAGAAAGACATAGAGGCTATGGTGCTGGCTTGAAACCAGTTTTAGGGGGTTTGAATCCTTCCTTTCTTATTTTACTTTAACGAAGGTTGGCTCTTATTGTGGCCAATGTAAAGTAAGCTCGTGTATCTACGTCAAGTCCTACTGTGAACATATGGTGGGCTCGGACAATAAATCCTAGGAATCCAATAGATATTATAGCTCAGACTATTCCTATGTATCTGAATGGTTCTTTTTTTGCCTGAGTAGTAGGTTACGATATGGGAGATGATGCCAAAGCCAGGGATAATAAGAATATATACTTCTGGTTGCACAAAGAATCAGAACATGTGTTTAGATGATAGGGTCTCCCCCTCCATCTTGGTTGAAGCAAGTGGAATTTAGATTATGGTCTGTAAGAAGTATTGTAATTCCTGTGGCTATAACAGGGAGGGAAAGGAGTAGAAGGACAGCAGTGATTAGGACTGATCAGATGAATAAGGCGGTTTGATATTGTGTTATAGCTGGTGGTTTCATATTGATGATTGTAGTAATGAAGTTAATTGCCCCAAGAATTGAGGACACAACTGCTAATTGTAGTGAAAAAATGGGTAGGTCAACTGATGCACCAGCATGTGCTAAATTATCAGCTAATGGATGGTAAACAGTTCAGCCTGTTCCTGCCCCGGCCTCTACTATTGATGATTCCAGTAAGAGGAGAAATGATGGGGGTAAAATTCAGAAACTTATATTGTTTATTCATGGGAATGCTATATCTGTTGCTCTGATTATAAGTGGGTCAAGTCAGTTGCCGAAGCCAACGATCATTCTCATAACTGTGAAGAAAATTATTACGAATGCGTGGTCTGTGACAAATACGTTATAGATTTGGTCATCACCTAATAGGGCGACTTGTTGAACAAGTAATGCTTGAATTAGAATGCTAAGGGCTGTCCCTACTATCCCTGCTCAGGCCCCAAATAGTAGGTACAGGCTACCGATATCTTTATTATTGGTAGAGAATAATCAGCGGTTAATGAACATAGGTAAAATGGCTGAGTAAAGCATTAGAGTTTAATCTAAGCATAGAGGATAAAGCCTCTTTTTACCAAGCCTTAAGGTGATAATCACATCTAATTGCAAATTCAAGAGTTGTTGTTTGAATGTGACTTAGGTTTGGCTTCAGAATATCTGAGCTATGAGGGAAAGGGTTGATTACACTGGTCAGTGACTTTGTAATGGAACAAACATGCAAGGGACACCATATTTTAGAAGAATAACAGTAAGTGCTCTGAGAGCCTGGAAGAGTTTCTACTAAAATACCAATTTTCCTGACTGTATCCCTTAGGGTGGAATGTCAGAGCTGGGAAGGGCTGTGCTGGCTTAGTCATTTGATTTCTGCTCATCTAGTAGGGCAACTGGTACTGTCTTGAGGCTCAGCTGGGCAATCCTAGCTCTTGTGTTCAGATTGCAGGTACTAAAAGAATGCATTACCACATATAGCTTAAATAATTTTTATGGTCTACATCTCGTGTTCTTATCATGGCCAAGGAGGCCAGAAGATGGTGTCAGAAGCCCTGGTACTAGAGTTACAGATAGTAGTGAACTTCTATATGTACCAGGAATAGAATCTGGATGCTCTGATAGAATCTTCAGTGCTCTTAACTGGTAAGATATTTTCTATACTAAGTTTTCTATTCTTGATTTTACTGTCCAAGGCAGCCTAGTCATGCTCAAACAACTGATGCTGGTTAAAAAGTAAAAAAAAATCTCTATTTGAGAAAATAAATCTCAGGAAGGGATGAGCTCCCTAACTGTTTATCCAATACAACATGATCAGCCAATTATCCATATATGCACAATCAACAAAAATGGATGCATCATTTTGTATTCATGTGTTTCAGCATATGTATTCACCCAAACTTAACAAGGAAGAAATTGGAAGGGATTTGGGAATGGAGGGAATGAAG